CCCCTTTCTTCCCCTCCCGTGCCGCAGCTAACGTAGGTTCCTTCTCTCCACCCTTCCCCCCAGGGTCACTATGGGGACGCGAGGGAGAGAATTGTGTTTAATTCCTGCCGCTATTCAGAGAGAAGAAAAAATAAAGGGACCAAAGGCAACCCGAAAGCAATTTACTTCAAGCCTTTATTATTGTAGTGAGAAAGAAGTTTATATACAGGGCATATTTCCAGCAAAACACTCACTAAATGGCCTTCGAATCAGGGGCCCCCCACCTTCCTGCTCTGCAGTTGGCAGCTCTGCCTAGGAGACCCCTCACTCAGGGTTCTCAGGCTCTCCCCCTGTCTCTCTTCCCCGGGCTCCACCACCCAAACCCCGTGTCTCAGGAGCCCCAGCCCCTTCCTTCTCCCTGGGGCGCTGCGAACCTCGCCAGTGTCTCCCAAGGCGTCTTCCTCTGTCCAGAAGCAGTCCCGCAGCCTCCCTCTCCCACCCCGCTGACATGGTTTCCTCAGGGAAACCCAGAGCACTTTCCCCTCTCGTTTTAGGCGCTGCTTCGAGCTTCCTGCAATTCAGAACCAGCTCGTGGTCAAGACCAGTTAGAGACAGCTCGTCATCAGCAGTGGGGCCCGTGAGCACCCCAAATGAGGGGGAAAATAACCCTGCCCACCCTTTCCCACCCCAAGTCTCTTCCCCCAACTCAGAGACAAGAAGTAAATACAAAAGCAGCAGGGCATCCCCTCCCGTCGCGCGGCAAGCGTGGGTGCCAGGCAACTGGGGCGAGCGCACGCGCCACTGGAACCCAGCTGCGCTCAGGGCGCAAAGGCGCGGCCAAAGTCTCTTTGCGCTGGGCCAACGCGCCTGGCTAAAGACACGCTGGCTCTTGTATTCTGGGGAGGGCACATGAGAGCGCGTGGCAGGGGTCTCTGTGAGGACAAGTCCAAGGGCACACAGGCAGAGGTGGCACTGCCTCCACACTCAGAAGGGGATTTAGAGCGAGCCAGGCAAGTATAGGCAAGGGACAGTCACAGAAGAAGAGTCCAGGGAGGCAGGGGAGAGTCTTCAGGTGGCTTGGCTGAGGGGACAGACTCAGCCTGCGATCCATGGCTCAGCAGAGCCAATCCTGACTTCCTTTGGGGCGTTTGCACGTGGACTTCGAAGGCTCGAAGGCATGGCCTGCCAAGTTCAGTCAATTGTCCATTGGCTGTTTACACTCGACGGGGCTGAGCCCCGTGCAGTTGCTCATCATAGCGCTCCAGCCAGGTGCGCAGCTCGGAGACCTGGTAGCCATCAGGGCCACGGCCGCCCTGATACATAATGGTGCCACTTTGGATGACATAGAGGCGCTCGAAGTAGGCACCATAGGCTGAGCTGCTGGAGTTGGCCATGGTGTCAAGGACGAGAGAGCACTCGGGCGCACCTTGCTGCAGTACCCGAGCTGCGCTGACCCTGTCCTCCAGGCTTCGGTGCTGCGGGATGCTGTAGGGGGAGTCTGTGGTGACCCAGCCGTCGGAGGGGTGCGCTTCCTCAATGTAGATGATGAGGAAGTCGACGTCGCGCTGGTACTTGGTGACCAAGCGCTGGAAGGCGCTCATGCGCGCCATGAACGGTGGTCAGGTGCAGCTGCCGAAATTGAGCACCAGCGGGCGGTTCCCTCGTGCGTAATCGAGGATGTGCTGGTTTTGGAAACCGTCTGGCAAGACTACCTCGGAGTTGGGCGCCGGACCCCCCTCGTGTGCCTGCTTGAAGAAATCCAACTTCTGGCCGTGCCACACCGCCCTCAGCGACGCCAGGGTGCACAGGCGGTTGTCGTCGGACACGCAGATGGGCGGGTCGTCGGGGGGCATCTCCTCGCCATCACTGTTGAGCTCCACTTCAGTTTCGGGCTGACCCCGACGTCGGCGGCCCAGCAAATGCTTGCGGATGCACAGGAAGTCGAGGAGCCAGAGCATGAAGGCCGTGCCTAGGAAGCGCGGGAAGAGCACGAGGCACGAGGCGGTCTGGGCGCAGAGCCTCAGAGAGTGAAGCAGCAGGGAGCGGAGCATGGTGGCAGCGCCCCCCAAAGCCCCCTGGGACCCTCTACCTTCTCCCGCCACCGACGGCGGGGCGGCCTGGCGAGGCATCTGGGTTTCGGCTGTGCGGGGAGCTCAATTTATAGCCGA